AGGCAAGTTGGCGGTAGCAATTGTCTACAGGCGGCATCCTGAGACCCTTGCTGTGGACGGCAGCCATAGCCGGCCTTCTGAAGGTTGCCGGAGCTTGGGCATCCTCAGCCCATCTACCCCTGAGGGTATCTGCATCTGGCCAGGCTATATCGAGGCTCCTCACTGAGTGTTTGTGGGTGGCGGCAGCCATAGCTGGCAATTTCTTCGTCAGAGTTGTCCATCGGCACTGAAGGCTTCATCGCAGGATCTGTTCTTTATCTGGGTGGTTGGCGCTGGCCTCCAGGAGGCTGTTTCGGTTGTGCGCTACTAACTCGGTGTAGGGTAGAGAGTGGAGTGTGGGGTTCTGAGTGTGGCGAGATACTGGAACAAACTCTGTAACGATATCTGGTTTTAATTGACTCATCATCAGTGTAATTCCAATTGTTATCCTCGCAGTTTCTTCTTGTGATTGGTTGTTGGGAGTACTGTCAGAGAGTGAGAATCACGCAGTGTCTTCTCCCCACCTGTGCATAGCTGTATTCCGCTGCCTATTCTAACCTGTGTGCAGTCAGGGCTCTGTCTCCTCTCCCCCTTCTCTTATGCATGTATGGGCGTGTATGAGACTGTCTGAGTGTGAGTGGCGGTAAAAATCGTCAGACAAACAAGTTCATAACAAAGGACTCAAAAAGGACGATGGCCCCAGGTAATTCAGAACTAAGGCCTCAAAAGTTCATTTTAGTGGTTCAAACTGTGACCTATATTTCATCAGTTCATGGGTATACCAAATGGGGTAGGGTCGTTGTTGGGGGTCGTTTGTTGGTAGGGCTCACCAATGCACAGGGTTTTCCTTTCCATGCGAACAAAGGCAGGCCGACCGTTTTTTTGTTTATGTTTTCTTTTTCCGGCCCATTTTATTTTCACCCGTTGCCTTTTTGCCAACCAAAGAGGCCGATCCATTTGTTCTTCAACCATTACTTGGGGCCTCGCTCCACCACTCACGACAAACGCAAAGGACAAAATTATAGCCGTGCATCTTTGCATGTTCTACCCGAACTTTGGGCCTCGCTCCACCACTCATCATATGCACAAAGGACAAAAATTGCGGCAGTGTCTTCGCATGTTCTACAGGAAAATGCATTCCCATTTTCCACGTTTGGTGTGCAGTGGAGCGAGGTCCTTTTACGCGGCTCCGCTCTTCTTTTCTTTTTTATTTTGGAGACATTGGACGGTGTCAAAGGGGGTGTCGGATTCAGGCCTGCACAAAGCTCTGACACCGTAATCCTGCTATCAAGGCGAACCTGTTCGATAGCAAGACTAAACCTCGGCCGTCCAGATCCCTGTGAAGTAAGGAGAAGCAAAACAGGATTACATGTCGACATTTTCAGCATGCTACAATTCGTTAGAAATCGAGCTCTAGGGCGGTCCCGGCCACCCGCTACAGAATCCAAAGGCCGAAACAGAAAGACAATAAAGAATTCAGCCCGGAGCATTACCCCATGACCCACAAAAGTATTGTGTTGATGGTGGCAAATGGAAATGGCTTACCCCCTTGGCATTCACACGCAGAGAATGAACTTCCGTTCTGGGCGCAACTACATCTCCCAACAGGTTGACTCCGTCCTGGGCACAAACATGAAACTCTCCGCCAAGGCTCACATCTTCGCCGACGTCTTGCTCTTACGGAGCAAGTAGGGCGAAAGCATAATGCAGTCCCAAAGTACCTTCATACACAGAATCAAAGCAGGGAGTTGGTTAAACAAAAGAAATGTACCCAACCAAGACCGTTTACAAGCAAACCTCGGTAAGGCATAACAAATAACTGTGCTTTGGACCATTCCACATGGTACACCAACATACACCCAATGCCTTTGTCAAATCGCAGGATGCACCTGGCCCCGTGTTTGAGTGGCCCCGAAGTTTTCAGGAAAGGCCCTGAGACTTTTGGGGAGACCCCAAGGCCTAACCTTTATTGAGATGCAAGAGCCAAACCAGTGGCCATTACAGAAAATTTTGGGTGATGCACACACCACAACTCTTTTTCTTGATGCCCTGGGGCCTGACCAGTCCCCAAGGCCTCCGCCTCATTGTGGTGTGCAGTTTTCTCGGAAAAGGGAGCCCACAACACTGGTGATCCACACTATGCGACAGTTGGAATTCTGTGCTTATAAATACAACAGTGGGGATCATGTGCTGATAGTTTACTACATGATTTGTGAGCCATTCTTTACCATCGTGGATGACAGTAGAGAGATGGCGAGGATATTGCTGCGATGACACTTGGGAATTTGAACACAGCTGTTAGTCGAATCACTGACCTTGGCAAAACTCATTAAATCAGAAGTCCCTTTCTGAACTCTTTTGTTCGGATGCAGCAGTTCACCCGCCACGTAGTTGGGGGCTCACGCCGACCTGACAGAAGAGGCTGGCACTGCCACACCGAAAGACGTAATTTTTCGCAGCTTTTCAGCCCGAGAGACCGTCAATAGCCAAAAGATAGCAGGATGTCACACAGTTCAACTTACCTGAGACCCAATGCTTAGCTGTACCCCCCAAGTCCGTTTGTTCACTGCGGAGAAAGCCACTCCTCAATCTGACCATCAGGGAGGGGGGTGGGGAGGAAGGGGGAAGCCAAATCCTAGTTCAGTTAGGTGGTGATACTCATGAAGCCCAGCTTCCAAGCCCAAACACCAAACGCTCAAGTCTCATCTGTCATAGCTAGAAGGAATGCATAACAAATCAGCAGCACATAGAACAGATGAGCAGGGCCAGAGGTTTCTTGTTCCCCTTTCTCCTTCTCCAACCTCCTCTGGAATTGTGATGCGTCCTCCCACCCCCCTCCCTTCAACTACCATGCCACCTACCCCTTCCGTTCCACTACCACACCACCTACCTCCATTGTGACACTTCATCACCACCAAATTTCTCCCTATACCCCCCCTTTCGTTCCCCCGTCCTGTTGTGCTCCTTTTCCAGCAACCCCCCTTCCCTCTGCTCCCCCCTTTCACAGTCCACATCGATGTCCCCTCCTGCGACTTTGACCCTTTTCTTCTGTTCGCATTTGCGGCATTTCTGCATATCCCCCTCCTGTGACTTGCTACCTCTCCTACCAGACTCCTACACCATAGCAACACTTTATCGGAGTTTATCCCCACCATTTTTTCTCATCTCCCCATCCTATCCCTATTGCAGCACTTTTCTCACACCACACTCTTTGACCCTCCCCATCCCCACGTGGTTAGAATGACTTTCCCACTGCTGTTTCACCATCCGTCTCCTCCTACCCTATTCCAACACTTGATCCCCACCTTCTTTGCCCGTCTCTGAAACGGTTTTCACCTTTGCAGTAGCAGACGCAGATCCCATGGGCTAAATCCCCAGACCTTAGCCTCACCCGTGTACAGTACCGAGTCGGCTCCTGTGTGTTTGAACCCGTGACCTGTGTTGGTATGTGTTTGTTGTCTATTGCAGGATACTGTGGTCATCGGGTCTTGAACCGTCGGTCTGTCAAGTAGCGGTCGTCGCTGTGTAGAAGTCATAGCTAATACAGTCCTGAAAGGTCAAGGTCATAGCTGCTACAGTCTCGAAAGGCCCAGTCTACAGACTTCAGGAAGGTCCGGAAGTGACCTTTCGAGAATTGCTCAGGTTAGGCTAGAGGCAAGTGGGCAAGTGGTCAGTCCAACCTTGTCTAGTCAGTCGCACTTTGTCCAGTCAGCAAGTACCATGTGGGACTGTGTGCACCTTGGGTCCGGTGGAAAGGATCAGACCAGCGACCAACAGAAGTATAAATCAAGAGGCAGTGTCCAGTCATTCATTCATTCAGCCTGTGAGCCGTGCGGAAGCGCTGCCTGAGCGACTTGTGCAAGGAGGTCTGCAGGTGCCCGAGGAAGAAGAGGGCAGTGAGGGAGACAAAGCGGCCATAGCCGCTAGTAGCAGGGAGTTGAGGGCGGCCATAGCTGCCACAAATAGCAGTAGGCTGTAGCGTACCTGTGCGAGTGAGTTGTGTGAAGAGTGTGAGCGTGTGTGGAACATCCAGGGAGATCCAGAGTAGCGTGCGTGTGAACAGTTGCTGGGAACCCAGCGTCGGAAGGGTGTTGTGAGGACGCACAGGCGCCATAGCTATTCGAATCAAGTTTGAGTCTGAACTGTGTTCTTGGCCTCGATATCTCTGAGCTTTGTGTGGGCGCCTGGCGCCAGTGTGATTGCCATCTGTTTTCATGCATGTGAAGTAGGAAAGAAGACGAGTCTGATTGCAGTCTCCCCTTGATATCACCCCTTTCCCCGTACTGCAAAACGGTTACTCGTGACGCTGGAAAAGTCTTCATTTCCATATGCTGCAGCATATTGGCCCTCTCAACAGTTACGTCTTTTAGGCGCCAGAAGACGGCCACAACTCCTTTTGTGCTGCAACAGCAATTGACTTCCACAAAGGAACAATGGCTCTGATTGGCCGCCAAACTCAGAATCTTCTGATCGGCCACCATTCTGAACTATTGATGTGTTTGGACCATACTTGCGGCACACTTCAAGCGGTGCGCCGTGCGCCATGCGTTCACGGGTGATGTGTGCGCGCGTGCGCACCGCGCGCACTGAGCACGCACAGGCAGTGCGCTGGAGTGCGGCCGAGTGACCCCCATGACCGCGCATCTGCGGATGTGCCTTTCTTTTTTTTTTTTTTTTTTTTTTTTT